TAGGAGGATGCTCATGAGCATATTCTGTCTGTGAATCCTCCAGTGATCTTTTCCACTTTTGTGTCAACAAAAAGATAATGTAATTTAATTTTTACAACTTGTAAATTAGCGGTGTTGAATGAGCAGCCTTAGAGGAACTACTGCACCTGGAAGTCACAGGACCTGATAGATACTTCAACAGTACAATTAAACTTGTCCAAATTTCTGTAATCACAACAGAAGGTGCATCTATTTTCATCTCAGGAGGTAGATACAATCTAACTGTCTGCCACACTGTCGTTGCTTCTAGTTGCCTTGATGTTGCAGAAAGCTCCCTGTCAAGATTTGACTCAGATCTTTACTGCTCAGATCTGCTCTTTCCTGCTTTCTTTCTCCTGGTAGCTGGGCTCACTCCCAGATGTCTTTAAATTCTGTTCCCATGAACTCGTCCATAGCTGCAAGGTCTGAATCCAACGACAACAAATGGTGCTTTCACCTTTTGAGTGGCTGACAGTCATTGCAAATGTCTGTATTCTCTCATGAATTCTCTCATTTTGGATCTTCCCCCTGATGCTTTGCAGTGTGACTTGCAGTTTTACAGTAACACTGAGGTGCCATCAGTCACGTGCCAGGTTAATACACTTTTTTGTAACTGAAGATCAGTAAGATCAGTAGACTTCCTTTTTGTTTTTTCCTAGGCTAAGTTTTGGTGGCAAGTTAGCTCTGGGAATGTCCCACAAGATGCTGCACTTAGGTCCCTACCCTTCTGTGTTTATTGTCCGGATAAGCTTGAACTGAGTCTGTGGTTACTCTGCTCATAAACACCTAAGTGAAATGGCTGCATCTCCAGTATTTTGTCTGACTGTGATTTGTCACCATTCAGAACCACCTCACTGAAGCTTACCTTGACCACAGTGTGAGAGCATTGCCTAATTTTTGCGCTGCTTTTTTTCTGAATTATTCTCTGGACATGTGGATTGATTGACTGTGCCCTCCACCATGTGCTCTCGTATTCTTTTCAGCACTTGAAAACACAAGTGTCGTGCAAAGTAAACTACAGCAGAGTTACTGCAGCTCGGGAACCTGATGAGATTGGACACATCTGAAGTGAGCACAAATGTATCCACTTGGCTGTCTGCCTCAGAACTACCATACTTGCAGTCTGCCCTGGTTCTGTACCCCACATTGTATATCTTGCACAGTAGTATCTACTGGTTCTTGTAAATAATACTGCAAAATTAATACTGCTCGTATTAAAATTAATACTGCTTGTCTACATGAGCTTTGTTGATTTGAAATTTTCTGTACTAAAATACATGTCCTTACCCCCCCCGTGCAAGAGTGGAGATTTCGAACACTCATGTGTTGCTGTTTCCCTGAGCCACTGATATTTTTCTAAGGTTAGAGTGTTGAAATGGCCTTACTGAAAAAATTAACAGCTTCATCAGAATTAGACATTGTTTCCTCCATTGTGCCTGGGAGAACTCTAGCTTCCTAACAATATCCTATATGTATAGGGAAGAGAGGACTGAGAAGCAATAAATTGTGAAGTGAAATCAAAAGCACACTTCATCAGTAGTATGAGTATGGTGTAGGGAGAGATAAAATATCTGACAGTACTGCTGTACTGGAATAATGGTATGCAAAGATTGTTAATTATAATGGTTTTGACCGACAAATTCACAAACAGTAAGAAGAGGACACATATCTGAAAGCTGTACCTGAAACTTTCACTTGACTCCTAAAAACTTTTTTTAAAATACAAAAAATATTTTCTGATAAAGGAAATACATTACTCTCTCACATAATCAAATCTCATTTTAAAAGGAATACTTTACGTGGCTCCGTATGGAAAAATTGGTACTTTGTTTCTACATTAAAACAGTAATATTCCTATGTCAGTAACCTGCTGATCAGGACGTCTGCTTTTGGGATATGCTCTTGAGGATTTTCAGAGAGACTAGAAATAGCAGGGAATAAATTGAAACTGAGTTTTAAATAGAATTGTGTGATGCTGATGCTCATCTGTGACATATTTGTGTGTTTAAATCGGTTTATTTGTGGTCAATAACCACAAATAGCAGCCCATCTGAGGAGCCGTCTGCACCCTGAGCACCTCTGGAGCTCTTTATCTCAGGGCGGTTGGGTGCGGAGCGGGAGCCGCGGCTCGGGGGACGCCGCCCCGCCGCTCGCCCCGCTTCCCACAGCGCCGGGCCACGCTTTCGGTTTCACTTCTCCCGGCCCTGGGCAGAGTGTTTCCTCCTGGTTTTGGTGTGCTGAGAAATTAATGCAGAGGTGGGATGCTTCCAGACTGAAGGGGATAGAGCCCGAAGAGGTGAGTGGGTAAAATTCTTCACTTCATAATAATAAATGTGAATATCGAGGTGCAAAGTGCTGCTCAGGAGTTCGGGTGATTTCCTTGATCCTGGATTTCTCTTCACTTATAGGTTAGCCAGGTCAGTGCCAGTTTTTAAAGTTCTTGCTAATAACGTTAAAACTAGTTATTTCTTTTGCTCATCTAAAACGCTGTCCCTGAAGTTTGAGAATGGGTTGTGCTTTGTTCACTGGATCCCCATCCAAGGCTAAAACACCTAAAGCTGATTCCAGATTTCTTGAACAAACCAGGAAAAGGCAGCCCATTCGGCCTTGTTGGAAGTCAGCCAAAGAAGTAATTTTGTATTTGTGCAGTATATTTCTTCGGCCTTTCAAACTTAAAAATGAGCCAGTAACAATTGCTGCAGAGCCCAGCAGCTATCTTATCACCCTAAAACAAACCCTGAAAATGATGCAGACCAGAATGCAAGCTTCTGTCACAGACATGCTTCCCTTTTTCTTTCCTTAGCATTTCCAGAATTGGGGAACAAGGGAAAGAGGTAGGACAAGGTGTCCTCTATTTTCCTCAGCTATGGGACACAGGTGCTGTGTCTGGCAGTAGCTGTAGCAAGCCAGGCTGTCTGCAGGACCAAGAATTTGCACTCCTCTCCTCTTCCCTATTAATGAGTGGCAGATGAGTGGAGAACCAGGCTGAGTGAACTGCAGAATGAGGGTCAGACTGACACACAGTGCCCAGCAGGGAATAGTTTTTTCATTAAGGTTTATTTTAGTCCTTTGTGTATGCCTTTGCAATGTTTTAGGTCCCTCTATCCCTCTATCCCCACTCCCACTGGGTTTTACAAATGTCTCTCCTTAGATGGCCAGGTTGCTCCCACAGAGGCAGTCATGATGTTCCCCTCTGGCCACTAAAATGTGACTTTTTGTCACTGGAGCAGTCCTAATGCATGCCCTCTGAAAAGGCAGGTCAGCTATGGAGTCAAACTTTTTTGGGGGCTGACCTACTAAACTCCTGTTTGGCTGCAGGCTGCAGCATCAGTTCCTAGAGTTTTGTTATGCTAGTGGAAATTTCTGTCTTTATAAAACATCAGTTATGAATAATTTTTCTTTTTCTATACAAATGTGCTGGTTTAATTTCTCATTTCTAGCTTCACTGTTGGCTGTTGTGCAATACTCTAACCTGCTCAAAGCTTGATCATGGTAATTAAACACAGGTTCCAAGCAAAGGAAAATGGGCACAGTAGAAGTAAGAAAGCTCATAATTCCTGTGAGCCTTTTGAGAAGCTCTCCTAGCTTCCTGTTAAGTCCAGGGAGGTTTACTCTCATGTATAGCCTGTTCTGTGCTGGGGCACCAATAGCCTTCTTTTCCTGGGAGCCCATCCTGCTGAGACTTAATTCATTGGTAAATTGAGCTGGGTAAGGAGGTTCCAAGTTTGTTGGTAGAAGGCCATACAGATATGTGTGCACCGAGATTGTGGAAACACTTAAAGCTTCAGGGTTGAAAGTATATGCTTTCTATTTCTTCAAAAAGGAAAAAATTTAGGACAGGAACCTAAGCTTACTGTCATCTGCTAAAGCATGAAAAAAACATTCTGGCAAGCACTCACAAAGCATGTTCCACCCCTACTGAAATTAATTCTGTAGAGAATAATATGGAAGACACAGAGGACTCTTCTTCGTATTAGCAGAAATGCCATTTAATTAGACAAGCTCTATGACTCAGAAGGCTAGTCAAACCCTTCTGAGCTCTTAAAGCTCTATTCTAGTCAGAATTTCTATGGAATTAATTTTCTTCCTTGTACAGTAAAGTCTCATTGCCAGATCAGCAGGTGAATTTCAATCTAATGGATACCAAATGGAAAATGAAAAAATATAAAAACACGTAAGATTCATTAGAAATGTAATGACTAAACAGGTAGAACCATTGAAAATTAGAGTGGACAGAGGCTGATATCCTCATGTAAGTGCCCAAAACATATGGGGTGTAGTATATAAATTTTTGAATGTGTAAGTTTTCCTGAAAGTATTTGGATAAATGTTTTGAACCTATGGGCAGTGTCTTCTCTACACCTTGGCTCTTCTCCATTTCTTTCTCTGATTAAGTTGGTACAGATCTACTTTGTATGCTCTTACTTTCTCATACATGGTTTTTTACCCTGGTATTCCGTCTGTCTCTATAAAATGGAAAGACAGGATTTTGTGTGGTTGACTCATTAAATAAAAACCAGCAAGAACAGTAAAAAAGAGAAGTGGTACATTATGTGTTCTTGCTGCATATGACTATAAATGTTTTATGTGTAGTTAAGCTCAGAGCTGCATGACTAACACTGAGAGGCTTCTGTACAATTTTTCATAATTATTGTATTTATGCATGTTAAAGCAATGCAAAATTAATCAAAAAAGAGAAAATTATTGGAAATTTGCATTGATAATAGATAAAGTTGGTAGCTTTCTGGACATATCTATTTTTATGTAAGACAATATTACTGCTTTTAAATAGAGGTCTTTAGAGAGATTATTAACTGTAACTCTTCTGCAGAAATGTATGTACTTTATGGGTTAAAAAACACCAAGTGTTTGCTCAGCATGAAAWTACGTATTTTCTAAGCTTGCTTGCTCAGCCTTCAGTTTAAGATGCAAGTTGTGTCAAAATGATTGTAATTTGCACTGTGTTCATTTTGCCTTTGCAGATAAAATGATGCGAAACGCTATTCTTTGGTGGAGCAACTTATCTGTCAGACTGATGTTTGTCTTCTGGCCGTGTGCATCAGCTGGAAAGCAATGTCATATTGAAAATGAAAAGGCTGACTGCAGTCACCTAAAGCTGGCTCAAATTCCCTCTGATCTCCCAAACAACATAACGAGTTTGGACATTTCTCATAATCAGCTAAGACAGCTAGGCCCCGCAAATTTGACCAGGTACAGCCAGCTGGTTTACTTGAATGCAGGCTACAACAGCATCTCTAAACTGCAACCAGAATTGTGCCAAAATGTGCCTCTGTTGCGGATTCTGAAATTAGAACATAATGAATTGTCTAAGCTCCCTGACAGAGTCTTTGCTTACTGCACCAACCTGACTGAGCTCAATCTAGGATACAACAGACTAAATATAAAAAATGATCCTTTCAAAACCCTGGAGGTAAGCTTTAGAAATGCACCTTTTCATGTAAATAAAATATAAATGGGGAATTGACTTCATTTTCAAGTGTTGTACAGAACTGCTGTCTTTGCATCTCAAAATACCCAACACATTCTTCACTTTCTGAAGATTTTTTCTGAAGAAGAAGCTTTGGGGCTTCTTCTGTTATATCACGTTGAACTCTCAGCCAACCTTGTAAGTCAATCCTCTACATTCCTTTTTCTCTGTTGAATCCCTTTGAGGCACCTCTCCATGAAGGATATGTACTGAAAGAATAGTGGCAGCAGATGGTGAGAATAGCAGCAATGTGGATGGTGTGGGATCTGAACTGCCTGGGTAGCTTGTAGCTAGCCTAAACTCTCAAGTTTGGGATGTAATTATTCAGACCAGGAAGGCCAGTGCTTAGACTGAAAGTAGTGTCTCTTAGGACTTTAAGAGTTAAGAACAAGTTAAAAGGTTTTCATTCTACCTTTGTTTTTCCTGGTAGTTTACATGTGGTTAAGTAATCTTCTTTGTAGCAGAGATTGGGAGGACCATCACAGGAGGCAGGAAAGGACTGACTATTCCACTGTCTTTGTACCAGGCAGGGAGTCATGCAAAAGGAAGAGCGGAATGCAATGTTTAATACTGTGGTAGTTGTAATTGCACCCAGCTAAAGGCTTTTGCATTTATCACTTTATCAGTGATAGTAGGGCTTTCAGTGAATTAAGGAACTTTAGCTAATGTAATTATTTTGTTTGCAGTAGATATTTTAGCAGGTTAAAACCATGAATACCATGAAAGTTACTGGTGTGAAAAACACAGAATACTTCTTTCTGCAATGGCTTGAAAGCTGCCATTTCTCTATCACAAACTTATTTTAATTGTAGTATTGCAACTAATTTCCAATCAGTTATACCCTAATGAAATGTTTCTAATTTTTTTGTGTGTATGATATAATTTTTTTTTAAATTATACTTTTTTTCCCTTTCCATCTTCTCTCCAGAACTTGAATATTTTGGACCTATCTCACAATTCTTTGAAGTCAGCCAATTTAGGATTGGAGCAAAAGCTGGAAAAACTCCGTGAACTCAGGCTGGGTAGCAACCAAATCACTGAGTTGAAAAAAGAAGACTTCAGTTTTCTTAGCAACACTTCATTGAATAGTCTTGATTTGTCATCAAATCCACTAAAAGAGGTAGGAAGCATTTCAACAGAAATTCAGCGGGTGTAAGAATAAAATGGAACTATCCTGATTTATGCTTTATAGTTGTATGGCATTTGCATTACAATTTTGATCCACTGAGGTCCAAAACCCATTTTATTGTATAGAGAATTACTCCTGACTTCTGATACACAGAATTGTTCTGCTCCTGAATTCAGCACAGTCTGGTTTAATATAGGCTGGTTCCATGTACATCAGGGGTTTCAATCAAGATGCAGATCGAGAAGCTCTGAGAATCCTCCTTATCGTGTATTTTCTATGCAGATTTTTTTTTGCACATGCTGAAGGTAGAGGGCTGTCATGCTTTCTAAGTGGGTAAAAAATGTACTATGTAAGTTTGGTTATAATATCTAGGTCTCTATCTATTAACTTCCCAGTTAATTAAGGAGAGTGTATCCAGTTGTACCTATGAGAAGCCCAGAGAAATAATAATTGCAAAAAAGCATATTAACTCCTTAAAAAACCCACATGGGTGTTTTTCACCTGCCTCACTGTGCTCTCTGATCTGCTTCTCAGTGTTACGATTCTTTGAAGAGTGATGGTCAGCATGGCAAATCTAAACTGGTTGCCTGTCAGCATACAAATACTGAATATGCATTGAATTTCCATGGTTTGTTTGTTTTTTGTTTGTTTTGTTTTATTTCACACTTGATTGATCTTTAAAATATATGTGCATTGAAATGACAAGAATATTTTGAGGTGGCATATGCTTGCCCCACTGCTAAGAGTGAATCCCACCATCATCTTTTACTAGGCTGTCTCATCCCTCCCTCTTTCTAATACCAGCTTTAATGAGGTTATGCACTGCATCACTGGGGGAACTCCACAGGTGTTTTGGCTTGGTTAGCTTATAGTCACACAGCTTCCCTATCTGTGTCACAATGTGACTGCATGTGGGCCTATTCTGGCACAAGGGTACCCTATGTGGATAAGTAAATGGCACTACTCCTTTCTTAGGCACTGCTACTTCATGCCACTTTCTGCTGGTCTGATTTTACAGTGCTGCTGTTTGAAAAGCAGCCTTATGCATTTGAAACATTCTGACAAATGGCATATTTAATCACTCAGCTGGTATCTTACTTGAGGGGCCAGCACAATAGTAGAAGCTTATAATTCATATTGTGGAGGCAGGTGTGTAGCATTACATTTCACAGTTGTTTCTACTTGCACAGAGAAACTGGGTTTCTTCTTGCCTGTCTGCAGACTGAAGAACTAGTAAATTAGTACACTTGACAGATAACAATAATAGAAAGCTGAAAAAATATATCACAAATTTTGAGATAACTCTAGTGTTTTGGTAGTTGGATACAAACTTGCATCTCACTAAGCCACTTTCTGTCTTCTAAAATAACACTACTCAGGTTTATGGTAATCATGTTATAAATTATAAAGCTGTTATCACAAGAAGTGTTTGAACTCAGCTGTGAAACAATCTGGGTGTAAGGGTTCTATTCTGCTTGATAAACTTGGAAAGATTTTCAAATGAGATTTGGTCAACTTTCTTATATAATCCTCTTGTTTAGGTCAAGACTTTTTTCCCTTTTCCTTTCAGTTTCATATGGGATGTTTACATTCAATTGGAAATCTGTTTGGCCTCATCGTGAACAATGTTGAACTTGGTGAAAATCGCACAAAGAAACTTTGTACAGAATTATCAAACACAGCAATTCGGAACCTCTCACTGAGCCATGTGAAGCTTTTCCACATTGGCAAGTCAACTTTCCAGGGACTGCAAGCAACAAATCTTACAATTTTAAACCTTTCCCAAAATTCTCTCTCTGTCATAGAAGATGACTCATTTCAGTGGCTTTCAAGTCTACAATACTTAAACCTGAAGTTAAATAATATTCATGTATCCTCTCATTTATTTTATGGATTATCCAGCCTTAAATATTTGAATCTCATAAACTCACTTAGTGGTAAAATTGAAGATTTTTCTTTTCGTTGGTTATACCACCTGGAGTACCTCATAATGGATAATAACAATTTTCCAGGAATTACAGCTAATATGTTCACAGGTCTGAACAACTTGAAATACCTGAGTCTCTCTTACTGCAACATAAACTTACAGAGAATAACTAATAAAACATTTTCATCACTTGCTAATTCTAGCCTACAGGTTCTCAACCTCACAAAAACTAGAATCTCTACAATAGAAAGTGGAGCATTTTCTTCCTTGGGATACCTGAAAATTCTTGATCTTGGTCTCAATGAAATTAGTCAACAGCTCACAGGTCATGAGTTTAAAGGTCTCAATAATATACAAGTTATTTATCTTTCCTATAATAAAAACTTGACTTTGGGAAGTGAATCATTTATTTTTGTTCCAAGCCTTAGAAAACTGATGCTGAGGAAGGTAGGGTGCAGTAATCTGGCACTTTCTCCATCACCTTTTCATCCTCTACGAAACCTGACTGTCCTGGACATCAGCAATAACAATATAGCAAACATAAATGAAGACTTGTTTGATGGACTTGACAAACTTGACATACTAGATTTGCAGCACAATAATTTAGCCCGACTTTGGAAACATGCAAATCCAGGTGGCCCTGTTCTCTTTTTAAAAGGACTTTCCAATCTACAAATTCTTAATTTAAAATCAAATGGGCTTGATGAAATTCCAGTTCAGGTTTTCAAGGGTCTGTTTCAATTAAGACACTTGGATTTAGGATCCAATAATTTGAATTTGCTTCCAGCAACGCTGTTTGATGACCAAGACTCTCTGAATTCATTGAATCTTCAGAAAAATCTGATAACTTCAGTTGAAGAAAAAGTATTTGGATCACCTTTCAAGAGCTTGAGAAAACTAGAGATGGATTCTAATCCTTTTGATTGCACCTGTGAAAGCATTGCTTGGTTTGCTGATTGGCTCAATGTGACCCAAGTAGTTATACCTGGACTGAGGTCCCAGTACATTTGCAACACACCACCTAAATATCATGGTAGTCTGGTTTTGTATTTTGATAGTTCAGCCTGCAAAGACAGTGCTCCATTTAAACTTCTTTTTGTGATCTCTACCACCGTTGTGACGCTACTCATTTCTATTGTCCTTACCATCCATTTTGAGGGGTGGAGAATAGCTTTCTACTGGAACATTTTAGTTAATCGAATGCTTGGTTCTAAAGAATTTGAGAGGCAACAGGAACAGTTTTATTATGATGCCTACGTTATTCATGCAAGAGAGGACAAGAATTGGGTGTCTAAAAATTTCATGTCTCTAGAAAAAAATAACCACTTTGAAATAAGATTTTGTTTAGAAGAACGGGACTTTGAAGCTGGCATATCTGAATTTGAAGCCATAATTAATAGTATAAAAATGAGCAGGAAGATTATTTTTGTTGTGACTGAACACCTCTTACAGGATCCCTGGTGTAAAAAGTGAGTAGGACACAAAATTTTATCTGTAAGGGGGAAAATTTCCTAAGACATATTTTAATAAAAATAGCTTGTAATGAAAGAAATCCATGCAAAATCTACTTAATATATTTTCTTAATATATTGTAACTTCAGAATAATTCCTAAGTTAATAAAATTAATTGTTCCACATGTATAGTAGTGGGCATTTGAATATCTCAGTCAATGTTTTAGGCATTTTCTTGGGTGTTTTTGTGGGTTTTTGTTTGCTTGTTTTGTTTGGGGTTTTATTGTTGATTTTTTGTTGTGTTTTTCATTTGCTTGTTTGGTTTCTTTTGTTCAGTTTCAGTTTTGGGGAGCAGGTTGAGGGGTGTTTTATTTTGTTTGGTTGGGTTTTTCTTTCAAAAACTCAGGCTGCCACCTGTGCAGATTGCTTCCCTTAAAGTTACACATTTGAGTAAGAGCAGCAATGAGTGAGACCAGTAGCACTAAAAGATGATTTTTATTTGCCTTTAAATTAGCCTTTTCATCATTCTTGTGTAGTGGTCTTGTAAAGAAAGGATTTTTGCTGAACAAGACTGCATCAAGACAGCAGACTTAGATTATATTTTTAGAGGATGACCATTTTTTTAGTGAGAGGCAAGTAATTTAAGTAAAGACCATTGTATGTCATAGATACTAAGACCCCTGTTAAGAACTGTTTATCTTTTCTTTTTCCTTCACATAAAAGAAAACATTGATTTTTGTCTGGTTTTTTTTGCTTCAGTTTCAAGGTGTATCATGCTCTTCAGCAAGCTGTTGAACAAAGTCGGGACTCCATCATACTGATCTTTCTCAGTGATATCCAAGATTACAAGTTGTATCATGCCCTTCATCTGAGAAGAGGAATGTTCAAATCTCGCTGCATCTTGAACTGGCCAGCCCACAGAGAACGAATCAGTGCATTTCATCAGCAATTAGTGATGGCACTTAAATCTAGTAGTAAAATGCACTGATTTTTTGAACTAGAGATTTGAAATACGGGGTCATTTTATTGTATATTTTCTACCACTGGAAAACTAGCAAGCCTTCATGAAGATCTGAAAAAGTTTGTCATCCTGTAAAGATATGTATGAGTCACTATAATTTAAATTTACTTGTTTATATTCATGTTTTTGCTGATACTTTAACTCAGCTGCACTGAAGTGACATATTAAAAGGGATCATGGTTGGTAATAATTTACTCTGAAGAGCAGTGAGCATGACTGATGTTCTGGGAGCTGATGTAGGGTAGAAAAGATTCTCTAAGGGGATATACAAAAGAGAATGCATTAATGATAAAACAGGAAATTCTGCATAGAAGGCAGAGTGGACACTACTTCTAGCTTCTGAAACATGGGGAGATTCAGTGTATTGAACTGGAAAGCTTTCTTTGTGAAACACAGTTAAGTAACACAGCAAATTACTTCTGTAATTCCAACCAAGAAACTTAGCAGTTTCAAAGTGAGTTTTAAAACCTTTGTGGTTGTGCCTTCTGGGTGGGGCTAATGGTGGTGGCTATCAAAAGTGACTTTCAGGCTGATGAGTCAACTGATTTAATCAATTTAGTATCATGAAAAAAGTTCTTTTGCTCTTCTCTGGTGAAATTCAGAGAGCTGACAGAAGGATATTATTAATACTGAGAGATGTTACCTCAATTTTTTGAGTGCACATAGAACTGTATGTAGGCCTGTAGATAGAACTTGAGATCTATGTGAAACATGGCCAAGGCACAGCTGCTGCACCTGTATAAAATTAAAGGCATAGATATTTTTATAATATGACCAGAAGACAACTTTATGGAGAAAGTGGTACTACTTGGTACCAAAAATTTTGTTACTGGTGAAACAACAACAAAAGTCCATCCAAATAAATAACTTTAAATGGTATAAGAAACATTATTGTGACTACAGCTAGAGTGGGAAAAAATTTTAAAATTAGATAAATTTCCAATTTTTTGTTTCCTTTTGCACACACATAAAGGCTATGCGTAGGCTTCGATAGCTAAAAAGAAAACTGTAAAGAAATCAGAACTCTGTAGTTTAATTTCTTGTATGCTAATCTAGTTTGATTTTTTCCTGAATGTACTTTACAGAAATATGGGCTAGTTCTCAATTGACAGGGAATTAAGGTTCAAACTTATGGGCTAGTTGCTTGATCTGGAGAGAGCTGAGACTGAGCAAAATGTGCTTTGAAAGGGTGTTTATAATGTTTAAGACTGGCTAAAATGTTATGGTGTGTCTGAGCACAATTTATTGTAAATTTGACACAAGGCAGTGATTTGTATATTTTTGTTAATATTTAATTGCTGTTTCAAGGACCTTGTAAAACTTTTCCAACTATTATCAGGTGCGTGATCCTTCAATAGCTCAGGAATGTAATTTAATTTCCTAGCATATCCCTCAACTTCAATACCATTATTGCTACAAGGATGCTGTTTTACTGCTTTAGAAAACAGCTTGCAATTAGTTCTATAGCTAACATTTTGAACAGCTTTTCTCATCATTTGCTATATGCATTGAAAACATGGGGTTTTAATAATTATGTCCCATGATGATAAAACCAAAAACCTAAACAAGACAAATATTTAATGAAATAGATTTTTCATGCACTGCAATAGTGAAGGGATTGTAGATCTCTTCACTTGCTTGGGAAGTCCTGAGTGAAGACAAAACAGGCTTTGTTTACAGCTGAAGTGATAGATGATGATTCCCTAATTACAGTAATAGGATTATCCCCATTGTGATGCTTTCATCTCATCTTTCTGGCCTTTTCAGAGGGAGTGACAAATTCTTTCTTCATGCTTAGGCCGTGAAAGTTGAGGAGGCAAGCTGGTAATACTGGTGTGCCAGGTATGCATCATGCCAATTGCTCTTTCTCTTATTTAAAGACTAACATGTGACAGGGTTCCTATGTTTCCTAAATCTGCAATGACACATAGCAGCAGAATTTCTCTTTCCACATCAATATAAATGGTTTAGAAAATGTTAGTAGTTCACATGGATTTTAAAAATTACATAAAGTTGAAGAGAATATGTGGAGAAATGCTGAGGTAAAAGGTGATACAAGAGGTCAGACTAGATGATCAAATGGTCTTTTCTGACTCTTGGAGCCTGACAAATGACAGCATATCTAAATTTCTACAGATTTTTCTAGTTATTAAAATGCACCCAAAATTGGTTTCAGAATAGTGAAAAAAATGTTATGAATTAAGCTTAGCTTTGTAATGCAGCTAAGTATACAAACAAGAAGTACTTGGTGATGAATGAAAAATCACTTTAAATTATAAAAACATGATGAATGCATTCCGAACAGTTATTTTAGTATCAAGATTCAGTTTAAAATAATTTACCACAGAAAAAGACATTACAAGGCTCACAATGACCATTAGACTAATATATTAAAAAGTACAAAAGTAATAATCTCAGGTCCAGTGGCAAACTAACTAAAATTTTCCCATAATTTTCCCCTGTTTTTCTGGGAGTTACCCACTCCTGCTCTGTTCCTGTACATTTGCTTTACAATTTTATTGAGAGAAATAAATGGGCTTTCCATGGCAAAGTGTTATAAATGCTTTGCAGCGGGCAGCATCAGATTATATAATGCTGATTTGCTGAGGAGTTGAACATCAATAAATGAAAAATACTTGCATACTTGTAGTATCAAAGATATTACCTAGGACTAAAGAGGAGCTATTTGTGTTGAGACTATGTAAAGGACTTGAGTAGGCAGAGTGCTCCAGCCTGGAGATTTGGAGTGGAACCTGACTGATTCTTCGGATCTTGAATGACAGGATGTGGTGGTTTAGGAATAGTATTGCCCAGTTTAGGGCTCCCACTGGAGAGACTCTCCAAACAAAATGCTGCTCGATCACTCCTCCCTCCCCCGGCAGGGTGGAGAGCAGAATTAGAGGCACAAAAGGAAAAAAATCATGGGTTGAGATAAGAACCATTTACTTGAAAAAGCAATGAAACAAGAAATAAACAGTAAAATGAACTATGTTAGTGACACTATGTACAAGAGAGGTGATTGAGTCACATGTGAGTTCCTTTCCCCTGTGCATGATGTGAGGTGCACTATGTGATTCCTCACTATGTGAGGAATAGCCTCAAGGTCCTAGCCATGCCCCTCCTTGCTATTGCAGATATTAACCCTGTGCTGGCCAGAACCATGACACAAGGAGTAATGAACAAGTTACAGACTATGATGTTCATATATGGCAGAGTTAAATATACTGCCCACCAATGAACTCAATTATGTGACTTTCGCTGTGGATCAGTCAGAGCTTTCTGCTACTGTAGGAATAAATGCAGATTGTGCTGGTGTTAGATTTATGTGCACCTATTCTGTAAGGTTTTGTCAAACATGGTTTGTAGGAAAAAGGCTGAGAACATTCCAGTTTCAAATCTCAGTCCTCTACCTGGTGTTCTGTGTGCTCTCTGCCAGCTCATTACATTCCTTGATGTGCTAGGAAGAAAAGGCGGGAATAGAATTCCTCACTTTGTACCCTTGTTTGCTATGGATCAGCAGGGCAGCTAGTTTTTGATGTGTGACCCTTGTTCTTATGTATGAAGCAACTGGGCTAACCTTTAGCCTGTCCTGTTCTTTTGGGCTTTCCAAGGGCCACATGACTTGTCATTTTCTAAGCTGGCACAATGTTTTTCTTTCCATAATACCAACCATTAGAGTGTTCCCAAACTGCTGCTAGTGTGGCCACATTTTTCTTCACCCATGCAGACAACCCAGTTTTGGTAAGTGAGGGCAAAGTTACCTATTCACCACTTACGTGGCCTGCCTCACACGCCAGCTGTCTGGCTTGTGCCACTGACACCCTCTACCGCTCTCCACACTGCCTAGGATGGCTGGGAGCATCTTTAAAAGCACAGCTCCTTTCTGCCTGGCACGGTGATAAAGATGTGCTGGGTTGCTCTCACTCCCCACTTCTGTTAAGCCCTTCCAACACACAGATGGGTGAGGAGGGCCCAGCTGCCCTGGCAGGCGAGATTTGTTTTGTGCCCCGTAATACGAGCTGGGATTCTAACAGGAGGCGAAATCCCACACTTCATTATCCCGGCTCGCAGGCTGTCCCCGGTTGCTGCCCGGCTCCCCGCAGGTGCGCGGGCTGATCGGGGCTGCTCTCGGGCCTTCAGCCGGCGCGGTGCCCCCGCCCAGGGCGGTGCGTGCCCGCCGGGGTTTGTTTCGCTTAGCAACGCCCGCCGGGCAGCAGGCAGCGGGCGGCTCCCGCCAAGAGGCCGCGGGCCCGTGAACAGGGCTTGCCCCCGGGAAGGGGCTCCTGCCCTGCCATGAAGGCAGCGGTCCTGGGGGCGGGCGCCCTCCTCTCCAGGCTGCGCCGCGCCCCGCCTGCCCCCAGCCCGCGCCCCCGCTCGGCCAGCGGCGGCCGCACCCCGCGCCCGGCACCCGGTGCGGCGGACAAGGAGCCCCGGGGACGGGCGGCCGCCAAGGGACTGCTCATCACCCTGCCCGACATCGGGGAGGAGGCGGCGGCCGAGGGACAGGAGGCGGCCGGCATCCCACGGAGCCCCGCGTGAGTGAGCGCCCCGCACACCTGCGGGTACGGGGGAGGTGTGCGCCCTCACACCCGCGGCTTCCCCCCACCTGGCTTTTCCTGCCTCCGAGTGTCCTGAGAGTACCGAACATCTCCCCGCGCAGGGTTTTCCTTCCCCCAAGTGTATGCCGGCGGTAGGGAAGCGCACCTTGGCGTGCTGCAGGGATGGCTCGGGCGGGGCTGTGTGCGGCGCCAGTAAGGAACCAAGAGCGGGAGAGTGGAAAGGAACGGGAGTCAGATCCCGGCCCCGCGCGGGCGGAGGATAACTGCCCCGTCCCCACCTCGGGATGCGCAGGAAGGGAAGCCGAGGTCCAGAGGGAGCGCCGGGAATGGTGAGCTTGAGCAGGGATCGTAAAGGTACCGTATGTAGGTTTGGGTTGTATCAAGTTCCGTCCCGGAGTTGCTGCTGCGCATCAAAGCAAACATTTCAGTCACCGCCCTGTGAAATTCTGAAATTCAATAACAGCTGTGAAACTTGGTTTAGATGCTTCTGTGTTTAATTTTCAAGCCTTACCTTGAACATGTTTAGGTTTTGCTGCAGATAAAAGGCGTCTATTAAATACGTGTGCTGTAGAATCCATTTGGTGATGGATGGTGATACAGCAACGGTATAGTGAAGTGGATTTTAGCAGCGGTTTCTTTGAAGCAGAAGAGCTTATAAAAATGAGCAACAGTTGTATTACTGTTTTGGATTTTTTCATACTATTACAAAATGGAAGCTACTGCGTGTGTGAATGTCTATAACTGCTGCTTCTGTAGACTAAACTGTGCTAATGTTTATTACTGACAATCAGAAGAAGGGTAATGTTTTGTTAGGTGTTTATAGGAATTAATGTATAATTGAAATTTAAGTTTTTAACTCATTAGGACAGAAATCTTTTTAGTTTACTGTTGAATTTTCAGATGGATTTTATAACCTCTGCTTAAATTTGGTTTCCATGTAGCATAATATTTAAAGTTGAAGCACAAATTCTCCCTGATGTACTCTGTTTTTATTTCCCTCTACTCCGATCTAGAGCATTTTGTTTTGTCTCAGAACATACTGTAACCTCCTTCAGGCTTAAACTTTTCTGCATTTGTGTAAAATAGTAGCCTTTTGTGAATAGGAAGGATAATCTGGTTTAATGTGTATTAACAGAGTTCTGTTTACAAGATGTTTGGTACTTTATACAAACAATGCCAGAACAAACAAGTGTTATGTGCCTGTAATTCCTGCCTAGTTTCTTCTTTTTTTAGTACCAAAAATAAAGCCAAGTAAAATTATGTATGAGTTAGTATTCCAGTTCAAATACTGATGACTTTTATAATTTAAAATTAATGAATGGAATCCACTCCTAAAACAAACTGATTGCATTAGGATGAAGAGTAAACCCTATTACATTAAAAGTAGTTGTGTCCAGCAAAATACTTATTTCGACTTGCTCTTGAACCACTTCTAATTGATATCACCTAATTATCTCCTAACTTATACTTTAGTATGCATGGTGGCATTTTGGATATTTTATTCATAGCAGACAAGGTTATTCTGATAAGGTATTGTCTGTCTTCAAAAAAGCAAAACAAAACCAAAAGGATGCAGAAGAAGGAATAAGATACATCACTTTGACAAAGAAAGTCTATACCACTGCATTAGCATATTTTAATTAGATGGTTTCACTTAAGCTTTTAGAAGAAGCATCTTAATTAAATATTGAAAACTTTAGTATTCCTTGCTTAGAGTTGAGATTAGAAATTGTGAGTTACAGAATATGATAATATATTATTGATAGTCACAGGAAGCATTTGCTTACCTAAATAAATTTCCCACATGAAAAGTTTTACTGCTGTTTAGAATGTTTTAGAAGACATCAATGGCCAGTGTATTTTCATTGATAGGAGTCTAACTAGGAGTAATTGGTTAATAAAGGAAAGGATACGTTTTATGTCTTAGTATTTTTTTCTTAGATGCTGACTGGTTGATAGCAATGAGTATATTCGAAGAGTGCAAAATAGTGAAAATCTGGCACTCATTTCTTTCTGTCTTTCCCAAATATTCTAAATTTTCTGATCTCACAACTACTAACAACTGGTCCTAATCGTGTATAGAGCTAAATTATAGCAGTACTTTGTGAGATTTTACGTTTACTATTTATTTGTATGTCAATTTCATATTTTAAACCAAATTGATAGAGAATTTATAATAAACCTTTTTCTTCATAATGGAGAAAAAAGAATCACTTTTTTTTACTCTTATTTGAAAAAAAAATTCTCCTATGAAAGAGCATGAAATTTCTTGAAAGGATAAGGAGATGTCTTATGCTACACTTATGACAATATGCTAATGATACCAAGACACATAGATTCCTTTTTACAGAAACATTATTATTGCTATCTTAACATGTTGTAAAAAGTAGAGAAGATAACACTCCTTATCTAAATCCAAAGAACATCATTTTAGCTCTAAGTCCTTTTACTGTTTTTTGAGGTGATTATAGGAAAATAAGATAATGTTTACAACCAGGCACTTTATTTTTGATCCAGTGCTCAATAAACAGGATTGCTAAGTCAACTATGAAAAGAAGAAGAGGAAGAGCCCTCAGTCTGTATTATTATTCTTAATTGTCACGAATTCCTCTAAACTTTTGTGAGTTAGGGGACTATTTCTTTTAAATTGTTTCTTAGTGTAGAGTTCATGTGCAGTTGTTGTTGGGTCACTTTTAGTTTCGGTTTGGGCCCATAATGGGCATTTTTTTCCTTCAATATTTCTGGTGAGGGAGAAGATTCTTGGATACTGCAGTAGTTTGCTGAAAATCTATGGTATTTTCAATGGTGAGATCATTCCTGTCAATTTTGTCAAATGCTAAAGGAATTAGAGATTTCTTGTCTCAAATACTGAACATTGGAGTGAATTACTCAGTCTTTACTCACTTTTGCTAGAGTCTCTTGTTAGAAAAGTTTTGAAGTGGTGTAAATGTGTACTTTTGCATGTTTGTAAACTATATGGAAAACAAGGGTAGAAATTTTGGGGCTGTTTTGACTCCTTCACTTGAAAACATATGTTCAGAATGTTCACAAGTTGGCCTTTAATAATTTTTACATCCTTATTTTGATGACTTCCATCTGCTGCCTAGATGCTGTGTTTTGGATTCAGTAT